ATTTATTATTATTATCAAAATAAATTTAAAATTTTAAAAGGCCACATCAAGTGACCTTCTCAATACCCTATTTCTGTTCTTACTCATTTTGTAAAGAGATCCCCACTAAGTGAGCTTCCCAACCATGACGTGAGTTTTCTCACTCTTGAGTAATTGACATATTATCTCTTCAATTGGTGTTTCAAGCCCGTTTCCAATTTCAATAACTTTAAAAAAAAATAATAAATAAATAAAAAATTACTTTCCCTAATAACTTTAAAAAAATAATAAAAATAAATAAAAAATTACTTTCCCTTGTTACTTTATTGTATTCTGAATTATGCAGTCAAATATCTCATAAGGCTTTTGATTATTTTCAATTACTTGTTACTTATTTGAATAATTAAACTATATGGGTTTTGTGGATCTCCACGGGTGGTGTGGTAGTGCAATTGTTAGTTGTTATTTATTTTATTTTTATTATTATTTTTATGATGAGAATGTCAAGGGTGAGTGGTTAGGGAGGAAGGAATGATGCAAAGTTTGAACACGGACTCCCAAATATACGTGGAGCAAATCAACCACTCCAATAACACCACACTCTATCATTACAGAACTTGATGCCACTATTTGAAAACCATGGTGGTGCCTGAGTTGAAAACAAATATAGATTATACTATATAGTGTGAGCAGGAGCCTATGACCATGATGAAGCATTTGGGTTACACTAATTTTTGGTCTTCTGGGAATGATAAAGGTTCCATCGTTTTATTCTAAATATTGCTCCGCTGTACACTAGTAATTCTTGAATACCCAAAAAGAGAACTTCCAAAGATGATAAAAAAACCACAGCTAAAAATGCCAATGTAGATGTAGGAAGTAAAAGAATTTGGAGTAAATAATAAATTGATCTTAAATGAACCACCACAATTTACCAAAGAGAATTTTTTTTGACCACCACACCACTTGTATCACAGCAAGCAGAACATCCAATGTGACAACCACCTCTTCTTGCTGCATAACCACCGTCACACCTTCACCTCCAGGATGCCGGTGTCCCCATTAGCAATCCCACCACCATGTCGCTATCAAAAGCGTAAGCCCCAGCATCAGCAACATCCCCAGCATCAGCAACAAATACGTCACTACCACCGAAATCGCTATTACAATTAATAACTCCATTGATGCAAAAGCAGCTGGCATTACTGGCAAGGCGAGTAATCCTAAAAAACAAGAGAAAATTCATCATAAAAAAAAATAATAATAAAAAAAAAGGTTAGACACAAAGCAACCACTCTGAATGAGAACTTTTAGCACGAAAGCTAAATCTCATATTGTGCATCCTTGTTCGAAATCAGAAAAGCTTTAATTTCAATAACAAAGGCAAAAGTTAGACACAAAGCAACCACTCTCCACATATTTTCTTCCCTGCCCAATGATGGAATCATCAAAGTTTGGAAATCCATGAGCTTGTCTCAATTCAGTTTGTCCTACATCCCGTAACAAGGAACAGGTCATAGAGGACAATAACAGCTAGCTATCTGAAGGATAATGGCAACCCGACAATGTTGTTCTACACATGAAATGAGTTGCAAGTATGAAATCAGGGTAGAAGATTAAAGCATGGTGTGTGGGTGAATTGCTTCAACTTCCAAAAAAGAGAGAGAATACAAGATTTTTAGGGGTAATATCTCAAAGGATCCTGTGGAACTACATGGTCCATAATCCCCAAAAAAATATACAACACAGTGAGATCACACCAAAGTCCCTTTTGTCCAATGGTACTTAAAATAGCCATAAAAAAAATAATAATAAATAATCATAACTACATCAAGCACATGCATAATAGACACCAGAGTTGAAATTGTAGATGCTATGCTCAGCACATCTCAGAGCAACTAGAAATATGCATACAAACAATGACCATGCATACAAGTCACATTTGTTGCTACTGTCAGTTATTGGAGAGAGAACAACATACATAGATTTTGTGTTCATATGCAGCAATGTGTTATATAATCAGTTCATCTTGGACACTAGTTAAGTTGAACCAATCAAACATACTTGGGATTGCTGACTTTTCTGACTTTTATATACAATTAATTACATTGAATTTCTTATTAATTTGGGTATATTCTTTTTCATTTTATTAAGTGTTCCGGCTTGTATTGTGTTGCTGGACACAAACAAATAAAAACCAGAATCGAATTCATAAACTAAAAAATCTATAAGATCGATAAGGATGCAAATAAAAAGGTGGAGTTTTGAGGAAGTACCTTCATAATGAGAGGCAACCACCTTTGAAGGCAACAAGGAGTTGAGGAAAGTAGAAAGTGTAATAGAGTGCATACCCAACAAAGACTCAGCACAACTCAATTCAACTGGAATCCTTCATTAAACATGTACACACTCGTGTTATCAAAACTTTAAACGAATAGCACCCAATCACATTTTCAAATCAGATACTACAATGGATAGCTTTAAAATTTTTGTGAAAGTGGGAAAACATAAGCAATGAATGAGTTTGATAATAAATGCATCCAAATGCCACCAATACACACACACACACACACACACACACATATATAGAATATAGGGGAAGAACCTGGAGGAGAAGAAGGGATGGTTATGAGGACGAGATAGGCGAGGGGCAGGAGTGGGATTTGTGGGTGCAAGCCCACGTCGCGCTCTCCGGTTGAGACTTAACAAGTACCTCGTTGATCTCTGAAGAAATCGCATTGCAAAATTGTACGCCATTTTTTTCTTCACAAAAACCCCAAGGATCTAAAACCCTTGTTATTTGAATGTTTCTTTTCCACCAAGAAAAACTGATATATATTTTTTTTTGGAAAGAAATTCATACACCCATTTGTCCTTGATTGAAATCAAACCTTCACTTTCCACGTTGCAGGAGAAGATACGAGTCCATAAGAATTTATTAGGGTTTTGATTCTATGAACTTTCAAATGCTCAATTGTAAAAAATTATTGAATAATTTTGATTTTTATTCTTTTTAATTGATAAATTGGTGCTCATCGGATTAAGTTAGTTTGTAATTGTCTCCATTCCGGGAATTCCAATCTTTTTTATATTTTTTTAAAAAAAGTGTTAATTGCAGTCGCATAAGCCACTGGCCATTTACAATCACAATTAGGATTGGTTAGTTTGAAATTCATTAATTACTCGAGTTTCTATTTTCACGAGTTCTACAAACATTATTTTTTTAAGACAAAAATTCCCTTTTAAAATTATCTACCCTTTCGTCTTATCTCCTCTTTTAATCTATTCATAATGGAGATGTGTGTGTGTGTATATATAATAATAACTGATCTTATGTGAATGGATGCCGAAAAAGAAAAAAAAAATGTTAGAAAAAAAATATATAACTAATGTTATATAAATGGATGTTGAAAAAGGAAAAAAAAAAATGTTAGAAAAAAAAAATAGTTTTATATACGTATATATATCTTTTTACAATTATCTTGGTGAATGAATTATTTTCTTTTCTTTTATTTCTTTTAAAAAAAAAATCCATTTATACAAGAATAGTAAAAACAAAGAATTCATTCACTTAAGGATAAGTGTAAGAAGAAATATATAATTGATCTTAGAATCCATCTTGTACGCTCTTTTTTTTTTAACCTTTCTTTTTATTGTTTTTGGATTTCTTTCTCGCAAATTTTTTTTTCTCCTTCCTTTTATTTTTTTTAAAATCCATTCATCTCTTGTGAATGAATTATCCTATCTATATTTTTTTTCCTGTTTCAGAATTCATTTAGAGTATTTTTGTCTAAAAAAGTAATATTTGTAGAGTCTAATAAAAATAAAAATTCAAGTAATTAATGTATTTAAAACTACCAATCCTAACTGTGACCGTAAATGAACAGTCCGCCCTCCTTTGTAGGTTAATTGTGATTCAGAAATCAGTGTCATTGTGTTGCATCAAGACCAAACCTCGTTGTATTGGCAATGATATGGAACCTCGGTTGTTTTTCAGTAATTAATGTCACTGTACAACAATGTTTTACAAGTGACACAAGTTTTTATAAAGTTTGTTTTAATGGAAATTCCCTAATGCAAGTGTTTGATTGACGTCTCGTGCAAACCAAACTTTCTCAATCAGGCGAGCTTCAGAATGGAGAAAATATTGAGAACAATCATTTTAATATAATTAAGTTAGCCGTGAGAACAAAGAAACTGCCGCACATTGTTTAAATGAAATAAATAGTCAACATGACCCAAATCAATGGCATACTTGGCGTTTGTGCCATCCGGCAAATTGTTTCTGCGTACAAGCGCAGAGGCAGAGCCCAGCCCAACACAAATCTATATGAACTACGTACTTGATTTTGGGCTGTGCAATGAGCTAATCGAAGCTCTAAATATCTCATTTTAAAAATGATCGACATTAAGAAAATTTTAGAAGGGTGTTCTGAAGTAAAACATACATAGCAAATGTTTTTTAAACCAAACTCTGGAACAATATATATATCCATGCGTTTCTCCTTAGTCATTATGCTATCCACATTTGATAACTTCACTCATCTACGTGCCACATAGATATCCTGTTATACAATAACTCATTTTTCATCTAAATTCCCACTGAAGCAATGACAGGATAAAAAAGAAAAAAACCCTAATATTCCAAATTGAACAGTTCCTTAAAGAAGAAACAAGTAAAAAATATTTCATTAAACAATAAAAAATGAAAAAAAAAATTGCATCTTAAATATATATATATATATATATATATATATATATGAAGACCAAGGTGATAAATTTTGTAAATGGCAGACACACCCTAGTATCCATGAGAAATTGGGGATTTTTTTTTTTTCGGTTAAGAATGTCGCGTACTTTCAATCTCAAAAAGAGCAAGACAGTTAAAAGAGTAAGTTCATTTCCTCCTCTTCCTTTTTTTCCCCTCATATTTACTATTCAGCTAGAGTCTTGCGAATTTTGGGACAAACAAACTTGACTAAACAACAGACAAAAGAAAATTATATACGAAAACAAAAATATGAGAAAGAACTGGCACAATATTCATATATAATATTTCATAACAAGAGCAATCCATGTCCCAATAGAAATAACCACCAAAGCAAGTTCCATTTATCAAATCTTACTGCGATTATCAGTGGTGCTAGAGCCCTACTTTGTTCCACCAGCCACCTTGACAGCCACCGAAGAACAATCAGACTTTCATTTGTAGTAATAACTCCAGATTCTTCTTCCTAAACAAGAGTTTTCCTGGACATCATGCAAACAAGATAACCCGGAAAACAACATAAACTCACTTTGCCATCTCATATATCACAATCCACATCTTGCCTGATTCAGTTGTTTTGGCCCCAAAATAACACGAATGACTGCATTTCAACAAGTCACTCTTCCACAACATTGACCAGTTCATATTCAACCAGAGACAGGTTGTTATCTTCCTTAACAGTGAAGCTGCCAGGTTCAGTCACTTCAACACGACCCCACTTGTCCACCGCAAGTCTCATTGAACCTTTGAACATGTCAATTTTTGCATTACGCAGGATTATGGTGGCATCAGGCTTCATCAAGTCAACTGCAAATAACAGTTGTCACCAAGACAAAATTGAACTCATCGCAAAAAAGAGCCATACATAAAACACCATCAAGTCAATCTAACAATGCCTATGCCATATATCATCAGATGTTTCTGAAGGTCAATGAAATACGAGTGGCAACTATAAATCCTGATAGAAGATCAAGATCAGAAAATGAGTTCACACCACAGCACATAAAAATACAAAATAAACATTTGTATAAACATGCACAGGAAGGTGAAGATGGACATTTTTACATTAGTATTAGGTTGATATATAGATGTGTATGCATGTATGTGAGTATATAAATATATATATATGTGTGTGTGTTCACTTACATAATCTTAACATTTAGTACTACGTATATGTGTGTGTGTGTGCACATAAGTGATTTATTCACATTATGCTCATGTACAAATGTATGTTTTTAGGTATATACACGTGACAAGTTTAGGGCAAATCTGCTTCGAATATAACTTTAGAAAATGACTTGGGTGGTAAGCTGTCTTCTAGTTTTACAACCTACTTTCATATTCCGGGAAGAGCATGTGTGTGTGTGTAAGAACCACACGACCACAAATTTTCATTAAGAAAACCTGATGTTCAAGTTTGGGATACTACTTCTGACATTTAACCTACAAAGATTGTCATTTAAATTCTTTAGGTGAGTGATAATTTGGCCTTCATCTCTCTATTGAAATGGTCAAACACATTGGCCTTGAGAAAGCATAAAATGACTTGCGGATTTTGTGGCAGAGTCAATTTATGTACAACAAATGATGTCAACAATTTTATTGGTTTTTGGTGCAGCCAAAATGCCAAAAAACATTTTATCCAAAAAATATTTAAAATCAAAAGAAACATAGGAAAATAAATTACAACTGCACATCAAAAATGCCATAATAAGTAGGAAAAGCCAAGTTACTAAGCAAATCAGGGGTTATCCACAGTAGCACATTGGGGTTACCACAGACTAGTAAGATCAATAACAATGTCAAATAACACTGAACCAAATAACAAGTACTAGAGCAGAATAAATGGAATTGGAAAAATCTTTGTAAAGTGCCCTGATGGCTGCCAATTACTTCTCTTGTATAGATTCATTAAAAAAAAAAAATTCAATATATACCCAGGACACAACCAGTTCTAAGCAAAAGGCTGAGATAGCCGGGTGCAAAACCAAAAAAAAAAAAAAAAAAATGGAGTAAAAAAATGTAATAGGGAGTGGATGTACAAAACCATAAAAGACCATGAGCAAGAATTAACTAACAAAGAATTTCAAGTACCTTGGTCATTCCTGGCCGTAAATACAATAGTCCCAGTTTCATCTCCAACTATGCACTCAGCAATCCGCATTCGCCGTACTTGGGGACCGTCAGGGCGACCCTTCTGTAATACCGTCTTTGCACTAACAACCTTTACAGTTAAATTATGGCCACTAGTGCCCGGTCGCAGCTGATCAACCTTGGTGAACACAGGTTTCCTCATAGTTGATTTAGCTTCAGCCATCTGCAACAAACCATGCAATATCAAAATAGACGAAGAGGTAAAAAGAGGAAATTACACCGGTAATGTACCATGGTAGGTGAAATCCATCATTAAGAATGAGCCATTAAGCAAATTGCATCCATCAATAAGATTAAGAGGGACGCTGATTTCCTCACATAATTATAATTCGAATTTATAATTTCCAGTACAATATATATATATATATATATATATATAGAGGAAGAGAGAGGAAAAGAGAGAACCCAAATTCATCACCAGAATACGATACAAGCTTACAGGCATATTATATGGAGATAAAAACAAATAAAGTGTGTCATTTTAATGAACATACCAAGTAATGGGAACAAAATCACATGGAAGAGTTCAATCAGAACATATAAAAAAGACAGCGAAGATATCCTACTACTACGAAATATAAACATGCTTTAATCAACAGTCAATTCACACGAAACTCAACAAATAAATAAATAAATAAATAAATAAAAACCATGATATGGAAACCAACCCGCGATCCAATGAAAGGAAAACATAAACTTTAAACAAATGAAAGATCTCGCAGATGCAAAAGAATAGAAATCGAAACCCTAACTTTTAGATCGAAGACGGCGAAATAATCATTGAAAGAATTAGATTGTCATAGCCGATTTAGATTTAAAATTAAATTCGAAAATTGATTACCTTTGTCGTGTGAGAGGTAAAGATACGAATTGAAAGTTGCAGTGAAGAGAATAGAGACCGATCCGCTTTTTCCCAGTTTGCAAATTGTGTTTTGGGGCTACCGTGGAAATCGCCTCTTCAATGAGAGACCACTTCACTAAGGACCGTTGATCTTCCACTTTTTAATGAACAAATCTCCACTGTACACGTTTAAGTCAATAAACGGCCTGATACCGGGGTTTGGGCCCAAGTTCCCCAAAATGCCTTTTTTTGTTCTAGACCGGTAGAGAATTTTTACTGACTAAATAGGTTTTTGTACGATAGCTTAAGGTTAGTGCTTTTTCATTTTATATTTATTAATTTAACTTTTAATCTTTTCTAGTAGTGTCACCTGTGATCATATGACTTGGTTGTCGCTGAGCATGGCTCATGGGCGTGCACTTATGTAAGTTCTTATTCACATTAAATTAGTCTAGTCGTGAATCTCAAATTATATAATAATTTCTTTTAATAAGTTTATGATTATGATATATTATTACTTGATCTTGATGGTATGAGATAAAGACTAGGGCCGATAATGGATCGAATCGATTCGACTTTGTATAAAATTCAAACTAATTCGATTATCACAGATTGGCTAAATCTGAAACCGAACCGAACCGATCCGTAAGGACTCTCAATCCGAACCAAATCGATCCGTGAAATAACGGATTGGTTCGGTTCGGTTCGATTCTTACGGATTGGATTTGACAAAATACAACTAAAAAAACTAAAATTAGAGGCAAAATACTATTTTCGTCTGAGTTATACATAAATTTAAAAGGAAAAAGAGAATCTGTTATTGTTAACTCTGTTTCGAAATATTGATCTTCGTCTGAGTCATGCATAAATTTCTAAAGACTATACATATTAATAAATGGGCTATGAAAATGACAAGGTAGAACTGAAACTAAGTGACAAGATGGAGCAATCAAAATTTTTTTCCAGAAGAGAAGAACAAAAATTCATAGAAGAAAATAATGAAAAACTTATGAATTCACTGGAAATTAGATGTAGATGAAGAGCAAATGATCTGTCGATGTAAATTGGAGATGCTTACTTGTCTAGATTCCATAAGAGACTGTGAGTAGAGCAGTGGGTTTATGGGATCCGATGAGATTTGATGGGAGGCCAGAGACACATGCAAATGAAAAAAATATAAAAACTAAAAAGTGTAAGTAGTAAAGCATCTTAGGTTCGTAAAACAGTAAAACTTTTGAAAACTTAATGATAAAAGAAATAAAAAACATCAATAATGTATTCTGCATATACGGTATACTATATATGTTATATAATATATGTATATTAGTTATCCGGATTGGCCACGGATCGGTTCGATTTTTTCAGCACCTAATCCGTTAACCGATCTAGTCATTATGGATTATTAATTTTTCTATCCATCACCGAACCACGACACTAAAAAACCAAATCGAACCGCACAAATCAGATCGGATCAGCTCGGTTTAGCGAATTGACGAATTATCAAAACATCCTAGTAGAGACCAATGATCCCGAAATCATGTAATAATTTTCTTCAAAAATGTGTAAACTAAGTTCAATGTTTTTTACTTAAATGTCAAATAATATTTAATCAAAAACAATGGGCTTAGGATTATATAATAATTTTATTATATTATCGTTAGATTATGGGGGTTTATTTAAAATACTAAATAAAATTAAGGAGCAATATTTTCTCCCCTTCCAAAATAAAAAGTTTATATATATATATATAATTAGTAATGTTTCTAAGAGGTCCTCTCATGAGAAGAGTCATAAGCTCTCCTATTTTTTAAATTTATATATATTAAATAATTAATTTTATTTTTTAGCATCTCAAAAAAACTATTTAATCCAATGATCTTCTTGACTCTTTTCATGAGAGTGTCTCTTAGCAGCATTAATTGTATTTGCTTATAATGAAAATTTTGTGAAAAAGAAAATTTGAAGAACTCTGTGTAATATTTGTTTAAATAAATTTTTCTTATTTATTTAAAACTGAATTTCAAGTCTAAATGCTTTTCTCAAATTAAAATAGCTTTTGGGTCCTTTTTAAAAAAAATGTGAAGCCCTGCATAATAATTTTCTACAACATTCAAAGACTGAAATAATATTATTACGTACAACACCAATTTGTTTTAATAATACAAACAATTGTTTATTTGAAAAAATAATATTATGCACGACACCATTTGTTTTAAGGTGGAAATTTGATTAAATTCAGGTATGAAATTAGTCTTGATACATCATTTCAAATCAATCAACCGCCTTGACATAAAAGGTTACACATTTTGACACGATAACATAATAGCTAAAACCAAAAAAAAAAAAAAATAAAATAAAATAAATTGGGTTAGATCCACCGAAGTGGGTAGCCTTAACCGGATATGTTAACAGGTAAGCCCGAAGGCTGTTCCCGTCCCTGTCAGGGGAGATGCCAACCATCTCTCCTTTGTACGAACACAGCAACCGCTCTCATTTTTCTCATATATGACATCGAATTAATTACTATGTTTATACGATGTGGGACTTTGGGTTGGCTCGAGGATTGAATACACCTTTTTTATGGTTTTACGCAATCATTAACCAAAAGAAAACAATAAATATAGCGGCTACTACAACACAAGGAAAGATGATGTTAAAAAAGCTGAAGTTTAAATGTTAAATCAAGTTTCCTTTGCGAAATTTGAATAAAAATATATTATGAATTTGTTCCAATTCAAGTCCTAGTTATCTTGCTATAGTTTAATTGGATTATTCACTGGTAGTCTAGTAATGACTGGATTCCAATAGGACATTAATAAGATTTAAGTTATGTTTTGATTTAAATACCAATCACGTCATTAATATATGTGTAACTTGGGCGGCTAATCGGATTTCAACCCGAGCCCATTATGATTTCTAAGAGGTTTGAACAATTATTTTTATAATTAGAGTTAGTTTGCACGAAAAAATATGAACTCAAAAATTGTGACTGCAACCGTGGATTGAGTTTGGCATACCTCTTTGCTCGATCGATACACAAAAATGAATTTTCCTTAATTATGAGTTGAAATTGGCAATACCAATAATACCATGCTCACAAAATATGTAAATATTATGAAGTTGGGTGAGATTAAAACCAACCATGCATCCATTCTTTAAAGCTAAACAAAACAAAGATCTACATCATTTATTACTTGGCCTGCTAAGAACAATCTCAACTAGCAGACTCCTTTTTTGTTAAAAAGCAAAATGCAAGAAAACATTAGCAAGTTGTCTCCCTGAGAGGTGAGAGCCAACTTATGAGCCTTATTAGCATCCTCTGAGAGGGGTTTCCATTAACGATACTGGCTTGCTATTTCACCATCCTTGACAATGTAATTTTGTGGAGGAAAATCTTCTCCCTTGAAGTACCTATCCAGCATGTCCTTCACTCCAGCCGCGTATCGCAACTGCATCATTTCATTATGTTTATTCGAGTTATTAAAAAAAAAAAAATCAACAATACTATAAAATAATTATAAAAAAATATAAATTAAAAGTTTGAATACCTGTCCATCAATTGTAGTGCCAGAAATATGAGGGGTCATAGCTTGGTTTGGCATGTATCGCCATGGATGGTCCTTTGGAGCTGGTTGGGGGTTCCAAACATCCCCACTATAACCTAACAATCAGGAATCAAAAGGAAAGCACTGGTTAAAGGGATAAAATTGACTAGTACTATACTATTGCAGTCCTTGTACAGAAAAATTGAATACCTCAAACACACACAACACACACACACACACACACACACAATGTTGAAATTACCTCCGATTTGTCCACTATTACAAGCATCAACAACAGCTTGTGTATCCATGATTGCTCCCCGAGCATTGTTAACAATTAGAACTCCCTTCTTCAGCTTAGCAATCCTAGCTTTGTCAAACATCCCTCTGAAGACAAACCAGTGCTGTAATTAATTAGTTTGACTGCTTTATATATAAACATGTTGCCTATGGGTGTTAAACAACAAGAACAAAAGATCATCATCATTAATTGGATACAAATTAGAAGCAGATAAAAGATCAGAAGCGACATTAACAAAAATTATCACAAAAAATGGCAGGTTACTTGGTTTTGTCTGTGAGAGGCATGTTGACGACAATTACGTCACATTTGGGAAGCATTGAATCAAGATCCTCCTCAAACTTGGCCCCTGTTTGATTCTCGAAATCTGGATCCATCTTGATCCGGTCATGATACAGGAGGTTACAGTTGAAAGGCTTCAACCTTTGGAGCAAAAGCTTGCCAATACGTCCGGCACCAATAGTTCCCACAGTCTTTCCTTCAAGATCATAAGCTCTATAAGCAATACTTGCGACATTCCACTCCCCATTGACAACTTGACGTTGTCCGGGCACGAAATTCCTGACAAGAACAAGGATTCTCATGAGCTCATCCTCTGCAACCGACACAACGTTGCTTCCAGTGATCTCTGCAACAGTTAAACCAGCGGCAGCAGCCGCCTTCAAATCAACATGGTCAGACCCAATTCCAGCAGTGAGCAGGAGCTGCAAATTTTTGGCCTTCTTGATCCTTTCAGCTGTAACGTAGGCCGGATGGAAAGGGGTGGTTATTAGCACGTGGAGATCCGGAATATGCTTTTCAAGTTCTGCGGGAAACATTTATCATAAAAACACAACATCGATCTCGGTCAGCCACCATCATCAAGTTCAAGTAGCAGCAATAAAATACATCCATACATATATTACATAAAGTAGTAATATTATTGTTGACAGTACACTTACCACAATTAGGGCCTTCTTTGTCATCAGTGACAATATAGTGGTGACCTTTGGATTCCAACCAGTCCTTTATGCCCAAGGCATTTTCTGCACACCCAACAAAATTGGGATTCATGGAAGCATATTCATTTGCTTTGTAAAACACACCAACTATCTTTTTGCTTCCAGGAGAAGACTGTTTGCAATTAGACACAGAAAGATGAGCACACCACATCAATAATAAATCAAAACTGATTCCAGAATAGCTAATTGATAATCAAAATGATGATCCAGTGAGAGATACTAAAATGGCTTACATGAAGGTGTCTAGTAAGAAACGATGAAGACGAGTTTCCAGACGAAGAAAAAGCACGAATAGCGGACGCAGCTACACGATTCATGGTTATCTCACTCGTGTCTAAATTAAGTTAATTAACAAATGCTCACTTGTAGACTTGTGTGATTGAGAATTGTAATTCATGCTGTCTTCTTATAGGCAACTCAAAATGACAATTTTTCTTGCAACCCTGTTAAGTATCAACTAGGGAAGGAGGCCGCTTTGGGGTGGGGCCAGTCCCCCTTCCCCATTTAGAAAAGAAAATTTGTCCACCTCGTCCTCACTTATCCCTTCCCATTTAACAATTTTTATATTTTTAAAAAATCAAAATTATATATATATATATATAATATATATTCTTTTTGTTTCAAATTAAATTATCTTTTTTAAAAAATTAATTTTTAAGAGAATGAATTTTAATATTTTTTTTAATATATTAATAGTGAATAAATTATTAAATTTATTTATAAATGTGATAATTTACTTTTTATTAGTTTAGTATAAAAAATATATTTTTTAAATGAAATATTCATTTTAAAACACTAAAAATAGACATTTAATTAGTAAGGAATGACGTATATATGTATGATTTCCGCCCCCATCAGAATTTGTTGTGGCTTTAGTGGTGGTCCAATTGAGTTTTGGTGCCTCTTGGCTGATGTTAGGGGTGTTACCCCATGAGTCGACATGTGTCTTTAAGAAAAGTGAGCCAAATAGTTCCCGTCCCTTTATTTATTGAAAAGTCTCCCACAACTTAATTGGCCCATGTACCGATTAGATCACGTGTATTCCGCCCATTTCGGTTTTTTACAGTTTGGTTTCTATTCTGGCTTTAAAGTGAGGAATTGTAAATTTACGATTTCGGTCATCAAGGGCCTGACACAAATCCACATGACTGTATTCCCCATTCTCGGCTTGGGTTCTGTGACATGAAATTTTTCATTCTGTTCATGTTATTAGTATTTATTTTTGATCAATCTGTTGACTAAGTGAGTTCTTCTGATAAATAACACGGTATTAAAAGTTCTACTCACTTTCACATGATTAACTTAAATCTTGATTATCAATTTTAACATCAATCATTAAAGCTAATTATTGGATTCCCAGAAACTTTATTTGGATGACATTATTTTATCCTTTGATTGATGATCAATGTGTAGTGGAGGGTCCCAAAACCAGACAAAAAGATGCAACATAGTGAAAAGCCCATTTTTCCTACTTTCGGGGGGAACATTTTACCTGTATTTTTATTTTCTTAGGGTCCGTTTAGTTAGACATAAATGTATGATAGAAAGTAAAAATGAAAGAAAGTAAAGTGAAAGAAAGAAAAATCAAGTTTCTACATTTGGTTAACAGGAAATTTTTTCATGAAAGTTATGGAAAAATATTATTTTGCTAGTTTAGCATGAAAAAGAAAAGAAAATAATTTACTTACCAAAACTACCCTTATGATTTTAAATACTTAAAAATAAATTAATTATGTGTTAGATGAATCCTCTTTATACTTAATTATTTATATTAATTTTTAACAAATAAATAGTAAAATGATGGATTATTAATAATTATTATTTATATTCATATTTAAATTAGAACAAACTAAGGAGGACTGGATTTTAGTTATCAAATTCTTTTTATTTTTTGTTTTAAATAATAATTATTTATATTCATATGTAGAATGTAATTCATTTATCATAACATACCCGTGTTTTTATTGGAATATTAAATATAATATTTTTTGCAAGCCTCGAAGAAACACTAAATGACAATATTCTAGGATAAATTTGGTTATGCAAAAGTAACATTTTATAGTTAATGCATAATAATTTTTTGATTCATGCATAATTTATCGGTCCACTTCCATATTTTATGACTATGAACCATGCAAATTTTTTTATACAAAAATCACATATTATTCGAGTATAAAACTCTATTAAGTTTCAAAACTGTATAGATAATAAAAAATAAATATTATTTTAATTTCCATCCATATGACTCTAATTCATGTCTTCTAATTCATGTCTTCTCATATATCTATTGAGATATTGGTAAAAATTAAAAGTAATATAATTTTATTATTCAATTCTTAATTTATTTTTAAAAAATTACAAAAAAAAATTTAGGTAACGACGGTATTTCCAAATATGTGTCCTAGTAAATAGATGGCATAACTTAATAACCTCTTTGAAAAAAAATTGGAGAAACAATTCACTTGGAGCATAATAGGAAATTTAGAAATTAAATGACAGTTTCGAGCGAGAAAGTAAACTTTCGTGTGTTTGATGCGGAGAAATATTTTAGGAAAATTTATCCGATACGAGAATCCACTTTCCTCAAAATTTTCTCTTTCTAGATAACCAAACTCCAAAAAATAAAAAAAAAATATTCCATTTCTTTTCCATTCTACCTGCTAACCAAACAAACCCTTAGTTAGACAAAGATACTGACGAATTATTCCCACAAATACCCCTACATTTATTACTCATTACTCATCTTCATCTTCTTCATGTCATGTACTCGTATGAAAGGAAATTATAAAGAGACTCTTTTATCTCAGTCATTAAATTACAGATTGCTCCCATACAATTTTTGAAAAAATAATAATGATTAATAACAATTTGCTGTCGATTCAGAAAATGGGTGCATAAATATAAAACAAATTACACTCACGAAATTTGAGTCATCCAAAATTTGTTGTGGGCGACTCTGTCTACTTAGCAACACATTTGAACTTCTTTCGATTGAGTCTAATATCAAAGGTAACAAATTCCTTGCAACACCTACCTTCCTTGTGAGGTGAGAATCTTAGTAAAGACAAGTCCTTCGAATTTTTAATTTATACTTGGCCGTTTCTGATTATAGTACAATACCTACTTATATGATACAAAGAAGGGTCAAACACAAGAGTTTTGTATCCTACCTAATAAAATATCTAAAAATAATTAATAAACAAAACTAAATCCATCTAACTCTCATTTCACTCACACTCCCTCTCCCTACCAGATTTGATTTAAAGACAATTATCTATAATTTGAACACTATTTGAACAATAGCACAATAGGTGCAATTTCTTACGGCCGAACACCTAAAGAGATTAATTACAAAGAACATACAGAAAAATCAAGAAGACAACAAACAAATCTTTGAGAGAGTAGCAATATTGGGAATTCGATGCTCCTTCATTCTCGTTCAGGCTCTATTTATAAGTTTTTCCTCAGAGATTTACATGGAGCCGTTTCTTGACTTTTATTCCCAAATGTGGGTAATTTACCTACAGATCGTGCATTCAACATTATGGTTGATGTTATGGAATTCAGGCCTTGTCAAGATTGAGCCGTCCATTTAACCTTTATATTAAGTAGAACTTCCTTTACTTTAATTGGGCTGAACTGGTACACGTGTAAGGCTTTTCTGTTGGGCTTCCAACTGATTGCGGGCTTCTAGTTACCTTAATTTGGTTGTGGGCTGCTTTTTACCGCCACGTGGTGTTTTGTAATTGGTGGGATTTTTTTTCCCTCCATAAGCACCTTTTAAGTTTGTCAAATTGAACAATCGTACCCTAATCACCTCTAAATAGGGGTAGCAATTCGTTGTTCGTAGGTTATAATCGTGTTGTATCGATATAAGGGTATTATAGTAAATATGTAAACTCAAACCCGACCCATTTAATAATCGTGTCAGGGACCCTCAACACTAACTTGACCTATTTATTAAACGGATTAACGTTTAATAACCTATTTATCAAAACGAGATATTTAATATTCAACTAAATAATAAATACTAGAAAGAATTTGTCACAATTAACCCAAATATTTAAAATAAGAAGAAAAACCATAAGACGTAGTCAATGTTTATGTTTAAACGATTTAACTGTCTATAGTAATTAAGTTTAAATAGGTAGCATATTACATATGTTATATTTATGATTATGACATTTTGAGTTAAACATGTATAAACGGGTTACACGTGTTAAACTTCCTCAACCCTAAGCCGACATGATTAAGTAAACAGGTTAATCGTGTTAACCCATTTATGACCCAAACCCTTTTAAGGTCAACCCAAACCTGCTTATCTCATATCGTGTTAGCGGGTCGTATCGTAATTTGCCACCTCTACCTCTAAAGCAATATGAAATGCATAAATTAACCTCAATAAAAATATTATATTTTGAACTAAAATATTCTCCATGAAATGATCAAATTATCCTTTAGTCATCTCTTCCTTTTCTACCCCCTCTCTCTCTCAAAAAAAAAAAAAAAAAAAAAAAAAAAAGAAGGTATAAGGAAGTGATGCCTCATACACCCATGTTTATACTTATTTCTGTGTAGAATTTTTGAATGAAAAATATTTCAAACGTCATTAACAGATGCATTTGACAGAACAAGTGTGATCACTGGTTGGTTGTGGGATGAAAAGATACAACTCAAAATCAACAGACATATCCTATTCAATGTGAACCAATGCAACCAATTGCAATGGTTATGTCCAGTGATGAAGAGCCATATATAAATACTTGTGTTCAGTGATAAAGAGACACACCCAATCCGAAAAGGTACTTATATTTCTATAAATACCCCCTTGAGCTACCATTTGCAATTCGTTCAATTATTTTCTTCTCTCTCATTCTCTAAACTTGAACCCAACTTAAGTGAGTTTAAACCATAAGTCAAGTGGTCCATAGGTCACGTGGTCCGAGCCACTTAGACCCAATTCAATATGGATATAATATTTCGATATTTCCCTCATCCCAATTTAAAAGTATATTTTTTCTTTTGAATTGTTCCAAAATATTTATTCAACTTAAAAAATTCAAATAAGATATTTCATGTCTTAATTTTTTATTTTTTTTTTAAAAGTCCTAACTTAAAGTATATATATTCAAACCGTAAATTATAACTTAGTAATTTTAAAAAAGGACAATATATTAATTACATGTTTCTTTAAAAACTTCTACTCTCCAAAGTAGAAGAATTTTTAGATGGTCGCTCGCAATCACCGTTAAACACGTAAATAATACTCCGTCTCATATTAGTGGTAAATAATACTCCGTCTCATATTAGTGGTCCAGATTTAGGTTTGTAATTTTTTATGAAAATATTCAATTAATGCATTATCTTATTTTCAAATTACTAAATTATTTTTTTTAACCTTAAATATATAGAAGTTAAAAATTTCCTAAAAGTTAAAAAAGAAATTATGAATGTTTTTATTTCGTTTGACATTCCAAAATCAACCACTAACTTGGGAGTCATTATTGAACCATTAAAAAAATGAAAAAAAGCTACATAACCCAAGCACATGTATCATCCTTGGCAAGCTCAAATATGTGATCAGGAATAATATCTAACATCAAATCTGGCTGCCAAATATATTATATTGAAATACCATAATGCACAAACTTTATTATAAGATCGGGATTGGTTTAAGTGGATAAGAATTTGACTCTGTACCTTAATAATAATTTAGAATAAAATTTGACTCTTTTGTTATGTAAATAATTTTTTGAGGAGTGTTTAAATAAATATCCAACTAGAAAAATATAGGAAAATGATTATTTTAAGAAACGCAACACTTCTGCATTGCTGTTGCGGACTATAATTTCTTTTCCATTACATTATTGATATTAAAATTTTATCTATCAGGATGAGAGGACCACAGTCATATCATTGCTTTCAAATAAATGTATCTATTTTATGCTAATACTAATTTTAAATATGTTGAAGTCCACAAGTCAAAATATTGAAAATAAATTTCATTCATCATCACGTGTTTAGAAAATGAATATTAAAACAATTTTAATGTCTTGAGATTTATACTGCTCCTACCATTTTTTAGCAACGCAAATTTGGACCGGAGAGTGAGGATTGGAGGATGATGGGATGCGAGTGAGTGGTTGGGGAACATAATTATTTCGGTATCTTTAGGAGAAGATAAGTTTTTAAAATTTTTTTTTTTATTATTTAAAATTTAATTATTAGGGAGTTGGTATTGATTGGACTCCACCAATATCTTAGAAGGTCCGCACCCCTACTCTTAGAATGAAAATTATACAAAAATTTGTTACAATTTTCACTCTCATAATTGTCCTCGATTTTTCCAAATATGAAAGTGAATACAAACATGGAACAAGAAACTTTAAGAGACATACTATTAGTATGATCACCCACCGAATCTTGTCGTTTGGTGGTGAACGGAGCTCGATAAAACAAAGCAATTCTCACAAGTCAACTCAGACTACAATCAAACCATTTGTACTTGTGTATTCTAAATGAAAACTTAAAAATTTTAGTCCCAACTTGGACTTTGTAATCAGAAAATTTTAAAGATCAAGCACATGAGAATAGATTAATCTATACGTTATTAACATACAAATAACATACCATGCTTTTTATCAAAGGATTCTCGAGCACATCACCCTAACAAACATTTTCTACTATAAGTATCATTAAAAAAAAAAAAAAATTATATTTAAGTTTTAAAATAACTATCTAAATTGTGTCTTATAATTTACTATTTGTAGACTATACGTTATTTAATAATTTAGTTGTATTGAAATTTATATTTTTCTAATATTTATTGTTTGATTGTGTATTATTAATAATTTAAATAATATAATTTTTTATTTTAGTAAATAGGTTATTAAATATGTTTACACGTGTAACCCATTTAATAAACCGACCGGATTAGTGTAGACCGAATTAGTGTTGAAGGTTTATTGAACTATTTAGTAAAATATTCTTAAACTCACACAATAGGTTTAAGGCCACAGAATTTACAACCCTACCAAAAATTACCATAATCACTAGAGTTTGTTTTTGCACATTACGCAAACGAGTACCTAACGCTTTCCTCGGTGAGTTTGGCCAATTAATTTTTAAATTTAAAAAGTCACTTAATTTTCTCTCTTGTATTTCTCCTTTTAATTTCACAACGGACTTCACAGGATTGTTCAATTCAGAGATGCAAGCTACAACTGTGCATTAGGAGACTTTTTATTTTATTTTATTTAATAAGTACTCATACACACATACATTGGTACAAATTGTTTTTTTAGGAGATTATATTATTGTAACTTTAACATTATTTTAGTTTTTAGACTTTTTATGCCGGAGAGAGAGAAATATGCGATTTAGTCCAATCCTGTCATTTTAAGCTCGTATCATACAATACAATTGCCCAAGATTTTACAGGTGCGTATGCTTGATAAGAATTTGGTTAATCACTTAAAAAGCCCAACTTCCATAGTCATACGACTACCTTGGATTAACGGACTAAACATTAACTGTTAAACCAAACTAATGGTTGCTACATTTTCTTAATAATGAGAAACAATTTGAAAGAACGGAGTAGAGCGCTCAGGAGAGAACCAAAATAAACAGAGAAGGATTGTGAGATGTCTGAAGGTGGTTTTACCAAGGAAAATCAAATAAACTTCTCTTTTGAGATAGCTTTAACTTGTTCTTCAATGGAACTCTCTCCCCTCACAAATCACACACACAATAAACAATGCATAAACAATATCATGCTAAAAATAAAAACATGTAAATATTATGAAGTTCGGTGAGATTAAAACAAGATGCATTCACTCCTTACAGCTCTCTACAATAAGAAGGCGGAAACTATGATCTAGAAACTCTATATTTTTTAATAAGCTGTAAACTGCATTATTTATTACTTGGCCGGTGCTGAGAACAAAGTCAACTAGCAGGACTCCTTTCAGTTAAGAAGCAAAATGGGAGAAAACTTCAGCATACTATACGATTTCAGAAGCTCTCATCCTGAGAGGGGAGATCCAACTTATGAGGCCTTACTAGCATCGTCTCTCCCATTAACGGTACTGGCTTGCTAGTTCACCCTCCTTCACAATGTAATTTTGAGGAGGGAAATCCTCTCCCTTGAAGTACCTATCCAGCATGTCCTTCACTCCAGCCGCATATCGCAACTGCATCATTTCAATATTTTTATTTGAGTTAGGAACAAGAAATAGAACAAAAGAAGCAACAATATTGAAATATATATATATATATATAATAATAATTAAAAGCTTGAATACCTGCGCATCAATGGTAGTGCCAGAAATATGAGGGGTCATAGCTTGGTTTGGCATGTATCGCCAAGGGTGGTCCTTTGGAGCTGGTTGTGGGTACCAAACATCCCCACTGTAACCTAAAAATCAGGAATTAATAGGAAAACGCTAGTCAAAGGGACAAGATTGACAAGTACTATTGCAATCCCTGTACTCACAAATTGAATACCTCAATAATAATGACGATATTTAGTTTTGTCATTCAGTCAAACCCATGGTAATACAGTAGCATCCAGCAAAAAGGAACTTTAAAGGAAGGAGTTCAAGAAGTGTAATAAATTTCATATCAAAATCAAGATGGAAACAACACCTCATGTTAAGTTGAAGATTCAAATTGTTGAAATTACCTCCAATTTGTCCACTAGAACAAGCGTCAACAACTGCTTGTGTATCCATGATTGCTCCCCGAGCATTGTTAACAATCAGAACTCCCTTCTTCATCCTAGCAATCCTATCTTTGTCAAACATCCCTCTGAAGCCAAATCAATGTTCTAATTAGTTTTGATTACATGTTAAACAATAAGAACAAAAGAAGATTATTATTTGAAACAAATTAGTACCACACAATAGATTGCAAGGAACATTAACATATCATCTCATGTAGTGTAGGTCCCAGAATTGTTATTTACCTCACAAGTACATATGGACATTATACATCTTATGGTGAAATAAAGAATCCAAGCACTGTAAGTTTCAAACTAGCAGTGGTGAATCAGTCACCAGTAAGCTGCCTTGATACATCGCTTAACAATATCGTTTAGGAAGAAAATTAACAGAACAATGTCAGATTTAAGTATTATAAAGAAGACCTAGGCAGTTATAAATGTTGTTACTCATAATTTTGCTCTAATTAAATAGCAACAGAGCAAATAGATTCACAAATGCCCATCAAGCCATTGTGAGCATTTTGGCCAATTCAAGAGTTTAGATTGAATTTCCATCAATTATTAGATGTGAACATTAGCAATTGAGAATATATTGTTCCACAGTTGAAACATGTCATAACTTCATTAAAAAATTTCGCCCACATGCATGGTAGTTTCCCAATAAATGATTGAAGAATTAAAATTGAACTCCTTGCTAGTTGACGAATTTAAAATGAACTCTTTAATTATACTATTTGAAGGCAGCTTGGGTATGAGAAGAAAGGGCTTACTTTGTTTTATCTGTAAGAGGTGTGTTGATGACAACTATGTCACATTTGGGAAGCATCAAGTCAAGATCCTCCTCAAACTTTGCCCCTGTTTGATTCTCCAATTCTGGATCCATCTTGATCCGATCATGATATAGGAGATTACAGTTGAAAGGCTTCAACCTTTGAAGTAAAAGCCTGCCAATACGTCCAGCACCAACAGTCCCCACTGTCTTTCCTTCAAGATCATAAGCTCTATGAGCAATAGCTGCAACATTCCACTCTCCGCTGATAACTTGATGGTATCCAGGCAAAAAATTCCTGACAAGAATGAGGATTCTCATGAGCTCATCCTCTGCAACCGAGACTACATTGCTTCCAGTGACTTCTGCAACTGTTAAACCAGCAGCAGCTGCAGCATTCAAATCAACATGATCAGAACCAATTCCAGCTGTGAGCACCAGTTGCAAATTTTTGGCCTTCTTGATCCTTTCGGCTGTAACATAGGCCGGATGGAAAGGGGTAGTTATCAGCACGTGGAGGTCAGGAATATGCTTTTCAAGTTCTGCAAGAAGGAATCATTAAAACAGAAGATCAGATTAGTCTCTATAACGAAGAAGCAATAACTGCATAACACTATTACTTTAAACAGTGACCCACTATTTTAACCACAATCCTTTTTGAACAATTTCAATTAAATAAATTGGAAAAATTTGCTTTTCGTTATCATCTCAAGTATTCAGTGTTACTTGATCCATGAACTAACTGGCTTCCATAGGACTACATGACATGGTGGCTTCCCTGTGGAAGCTTACTCAAGTTAACATAGTGTTCAGGTTCACATGCACAAACGTACAAACATTGTATAGAGTATTTTTGTCTACACACTTACCACAATCAGGTCCTTCTTTGTCATCAGTGACAATGTACTGGTGACCTTTTGATTCCAACCAGTCCTGTATGCCCAAGGCATTCTCTACACAGCCCAGAAAATTGGGATTCATCGAAGCATATTCATTTGCTTTGTAAAAGACACCAACGATCTTTTTGCTTCCAGGAGACGACTGTTGGCAATAAGAGAGAACAATGACCACACCAATCATAAAAGAAAACTGCAGGGACTATACTTAGAGAAAGTGTTTATTCTTAAAACGGGGTTAGAGGTAAATGCAAGTTATGAAACAAAATGTCCATGAATGGTCCAAGGCCTCTTCTTTCAGTCTTCCGATGGATAAACCAAATACTTTATATTTGATGTAAAATATAAGAGAGGCTACAATATCATATCATTGATGAATTGTCCAAAAGCAGAGAGCATTTGATGATCCAAGATGAACAAGTACACCATTTTTGTGATGTAAGTAAATTACCCTGATTTCCTCATATCAGAAAACAATACATGATTATCAATTTGTCACTCATCAATATACAAGCAGCTATCTTAACAAATTACTTTTTTAAAAGAAAATTAATATATGCTCAAATTTATTTATTTACTTTAAAATTTACATGAGGCAAGGCATATCTCAATAATTGTTAATTGATTTTATTTGTAGAATTTTATTTCTAAATTTTTGATTGAATAATGTTGACGAGAAGTCAGGTATAATACACAAACTTAAATTAAGTATTGCAGCTCTCATTTTTACAGAGAACATGGGGTATAAAATCATTTGTTGCGTACATACATTTGCATGTTGACAGATCAGGAATTTGAATGTTATTCAATTTCAAGTCAATTCTATACTTGAGCAAAAGCAAAGAGCTCAAACAGAACCCCTTTGTTTCAATAAAGAGAAACAGTAAACAACAAAAGGGAATAAAAACCTAAAAAATGTAGAGAATCATATTTGTTTAAATTCCTGAAAAAAAAAATGTAGTGAATCTTCGGCCCATGGATCGCGTGGGCTGCCTAAAGCCCACCAAACGAATGCTGTCATATGAGGTTACGAGGATGTGAAAAGTCACACTTTTTGCATGTGCTGCACTCTACCAAACACGCCCCAACAAATTTTGCTTTAACTAATTAACTCCGTACTTATCCTTTACCGTTTGGTAGGAAGGAAAAAATTTGAATGGAAGGGAGAGTAGAATAGATGACTGAGACATTCCTAAGGAATATATTAAGTATTTCCTTCTTTTTGTTCGGTTTGATGGAAGAGAATAGAAAAAAATGACAATTTAATTGATCGGTAGGATAAAAGGAAAGATAACTTCTAAAGTTATTTTTACCATTAAACCTATTCCTTACTTTATTTATGAAATTTATTAAATATTTATGGAGAGTGATGTAGTAATTTAAAACTTCTATAATAGGCTCACTTTCTTCTCTCCTATCTTCGGCCCATATTTGGACGAATAAAAATTTATGAAGGAGGAAGGATGAGTGATCATTTTTACTAAACAAAGAAAATTTATTCATTCCTTCTTATTTCCCCGAATATAGCATTAATGCGTGTGATTTTTCCGTCGAAATCAATTCAAAACCATCCAATTGACAAAATACACTCCAAACCGACGATCGATCTTCACCGTTGATGAAAACGATATATAACAAGGCGATGATAGTCAGTGGCGGATCCAAGGGGGCTTGGGTGGGCTTGAGACCCCAAAAAAAAATTAGTATAAGTATAATTAGCCCATTGTTTAAAAAAAAAAAAAAAAAAAAAATTAATAATAGTATTAGCCTCTCATTTTAACCCATTCAAACAGGCCCAATATCTAAACCACAATTTTAAAACAACGGCCTAAACCAAACAAATCCTAAATAATCACAAAGCCAAAACACAAGTCCTAAATAATCACTGAGCCAAAACACAGAACTACTAAATTTCTAATCTTGCACAAATCAGAGCACTCACTCCTTCTCTTCCTCTAAAACCTAATCTTATTTCCTATAAAAATTTTCAATTCTTTAATCTTTCTTTAATCTTTCGATCTCCAATTCCTCCTCCTTGTTTAATATTAGCCCCGGATTCACCCTTGATGATAATGAAGACGATGAATTAAAAAAAGACACACAGAAGAAAACAATCGCCCAAAAGCAAAGATCGAAATCAATAAAAATCGAATTTCCAGTAGCTAATTGATAATCAAATTAAATCAAGATTGAGAGAGACTAAAATCGCTTACATGCAAGTCTCTAGTAAGAAGCGATGAAGTTGAATTTCCCGGCGAAGCAAAGGCACGAATTGCAGAGGCAGCGACACGTTTCATCGCCATCTCTCTCTATCTCTCCTCTTTCTAACAAAAATGGTGAGTCGCTCGTAGTGTTTATCTCAGTCACAGCTGTAAAGCACGCTACGTCTTATATATAGGCGAATCAAAACCAGCTTTTTCTCGGTTTTGTCTAAATGTTTCACCGAAACGGCACCCCATCCATTCGTATAATCGAAAAGGCATCAGACGGTTTGGACATGATCACTACTTTCCTATTGTGCACACGCGGAGGTGGCAAATTTCGATTTGAGTTTCTATGGTCATTCGTGGGACAGTTTGTTGATGATGAGGGTAGTTTAGTCATTTAGTCATCAGATGGGTTTGTTTTTAATGGTTGATGTTACCAAAACTCCCAAGAGTTGACACATGTCCCCCATATTTCGAGATTCCAATCCTGGCAGATGCGTTGTAGAGTGGATCACATTTACAATGCATCCTTTGTCATTGCCACGTCAACAGTAACGAGGATATTTCGACTATGAAGTAGTAGCTATCTGTTAGAGGGGGGTCCATTCAAAACGGTAATGGCGTAATCTATTTCCTTTTGGTACTCCATTTCATCAACTATTGGTACATTATTTTAGAAAATTGGTTGGCAAGTAAATGTGTTACAGGTGTGTTGTATTCTCAAAATTAATATGTTGTAATATTCTCAAAGTATTTATATTATACAAATGTTACAGTTTCAAAATAATATTGAGTGGATTCTCGGAATAGTGATATTGTATCATTTTAATAATGATATTTCATATTTACTTACATTTAAAAGATCATCTTTCAGCCTACTAGACTCTTTGTGAATATATTTAATTTTTAAAACGAACCTCCACAAGTTTCTAGTTCATTTTTTATAAAATTACACTAATTTTTTTATTTTTATTTTTTCATTTTCTTTATCAAAGACTCAACAGCTTTCATGGCACAAATTTTAATTATATATATATATATATATATATATTCTAATCTCATTCTTAAATTAATTTAAAATTTTATTTGAATATTAAATTAAATTCATGTTATGTTTGATTGCATGAAATTAATACTTTAAAATTTTAATTAGAGAATTATAATTAAATATAGCCGTTGAATTTCAACTTAATGGAATTGAAATTTCAATTCAATTCAATTCCAATTTTACGAAGCCAAATGCACTCTTCTGTTGTAGCATTGAATTAAAAAAAAATTTAATTTTAATTATAATTTCAAAATCACTGAAGACTTCAGACATAATATTGAAGATTTTAAAAATAATTTACTTTTTATGAAAAAGTAACAAATCGTTTAGTCCGAAGTGCAAATTAACACTCGACCTACTTGTTCGGCCCAAAATTATCTTTGGCTTATTAGCCCATTGGAGGCGAATTGAAAAAATCTTGCCCATAATCCTTGGGCTCAAGAGTCAATTATCTTAGGCTTATTAGCCCATTGCAGAAAGGAAATATGTATTATCATAGCCTAATCCTCTGTTTTTCAAGCCCTTATTTTATTTTATTTATTTATTTATTTATTTTTTTTGTCGTTCACTATTTTCAATTTTTAGCAAACACAAGAGACATGCATGTATTCATTCTATAGAGCTTGTGGATTTGTTATCTTAGGAGCCCCTCGAACACCCATTAACTTTTAATGTAATATTTTTGTCAAAAAAAATATGTGAATAAATAAAAAGCTAAGTTCAGGGTTTCGGATCCAAATAAGATTTCATCTCCGGCCTTAGATATTTAATCGATCTCAACTTTTAGTGGTCTAAATATAAGAGATAAAAATAAACCGATCGGCATGTGCTCTTCAGATCCTCCGCAATGATCGTGCAGGCAACCCTCCACATGCGATACAACTATCTCAACATATCTGCGTTTCATCATTGCAAATGTGTTCTGTATTTTTTCTTTATTATGTCATAATAATACTTTTGAAATTCTGCCAAATTTGAGTCTTTTGTAAGCTTCCTCTACTCGTAGATAATTAACAACTTATAAGGCTGTTAAGCCGCAGATTCAAAGATAACAATTTTTTTTTTTAAGCAATCCAAAATCAGATCTGTTCTCTCTCTTTATATTTTTTTAAAAAATAATTATTCTATTTTATTTCTTTTACCTTTCTCTCTTATTTATTTATTTCTTTTGTTTGCTTGGTTTTTTTTTTTTTTTTTGCTCTCTAGTTGACTTAATCCTAGTAAGAGTCGGGAAAAAAAATAAATAAATAAACCTAGTATTACTTTCCAAATTCGTACAAACCCAATATAACCCCCTTGCCCAATGTATTTATCAAATTGCTCTCTTTCTCTCTCAAGCAAGCAAGCAAAAATTTGTCTCTTTTTGTTTTATACACAAAATTGCTCTCAAGCAAGTTTGTTTGGATATCTCTAAACCGTTCATTTTCTACTCTTGAATCTGCAAATTTAAATGCTGTATAATCAATTTCCATAGAGAAAACCACCAGACCCACCTCAATATGTTGTGCTAAAAACAGGTACCATCTTTTTACTTATTTATGGATTTATATGTCTCTGTTTATTGATTTATTTTTAAATGAAGAAATTTTGTCACAAAATATCTTAATTGTTGTTGTTTTTTTTTTTTAATTGGAATATTGAGAAGGATGATAAATGAGGGTTATGTTTGGAGGATTACATTAGTACCTTCTAGACCACAATCTGTACTTGATACTGCAGCCAATCGTACAGGTTCTACGCTTGTTTTAGATGTGTGATATATAGAGAGTTCTAGAAAAGATTCTACACTTGCTCGGAGGACTAAGGATATATACTTCAATTTGGCTTGAATTAATTCATCAGTCAATTTGGACTGAGTACACCCTTCACTTGACCAATGTGCATTTAGGTGTGTGATATAACAAGAAAGTTACCAGATAGCGTACCAAGACATTCATAGACTGTAAAAAATAGTATGTATTACAAAAATTACAAAAGCATTACAAGTTCTTTTATTCCAATAGCCGCAGCACCAGTGAGTTTTTTACTGTATATCATGAGTTGTTTTGTCAATTTGTATTGCGTACAACGAATACAGGCAGTACAAGGCATCATAAGTTCAATGCATGTGTCATGACATTAAACTGCTCATTTGGTTCCTCAATCCTCATATTCTAAAAAGATTTGTATTATTATCTTCAAAGGAAAATGTTCTCGTATTTCGACTTCGTAAGTGAAGGCCTAGCTAATTTTTAAGGAGGCTTATGAATCAATCTTTAGTTTAGAATACTTGAAAAACATAGTCAACACCAAATTATATGATTTTAGTGCATCAAACATATATAAATACCTTCTGGATCCCAATCTGTACTTGATTTTGTAGTCGATCGAACAAATTGTCCTGTGAAATTCAATGCAACAGTATAAATTTAGTTTTAAAAGTAAAAGCTCCTCAATTTTTAATAAGATTATCAAATTCAAATAACAGTGAACATGTACATATTTATTAAATCAATGTATTTTGTAAGTAACAGTATTTTAGGGCTGTTTCCGAAGTCGATAAGCAATGTTCTGAAATACACATATATACACACACACACATATACACACACGCATATATATATATATACACACACACATATATATATATTCTATGTATAAATAATTATATATACATATGTATGTATGTATGTGTGTGTGTATATATATATATATATGTTGTGGATGATCCATAGAGAGATTAAATTTCTTGTGAGAGAGTAGATGTGTCAGAATTTCATGAGAAGATAGATAGAAATGAAAGGACCTCTTACATATATAGAGTGTCATTAAAGGGACTACACATATATCACCTCAATACACATTAAAATTGATGACAACATTGTTATCTAACCAAACATACAAGGAATATATTTATACCAAAAATGTAAAAAATCTAGAAAATAAGCTGCTTAAATAAGCAATTGAATTGAACTAATCTTGGACTCTATGATTTTAACGAAAACAAAGCAAACATAATGTCTTTTCAAACTCATGCTACCATGATCTTGATAGACAAACAGAATACACTCATTATAACATGAAATGCAGTTGATAATTTGGCTTGAATTAATTCATCAGTCAATTTGGACTGAGTACACCCTTCACTTGACCAATGTGCATTTAGGTGTGTAATATAACAAGAAGCTTACCAGATAATGTACTAAGACATTCACAATAAAAATGCCATAAACACTACGTATTACAAAAATTATTAAGGTATGACAAGTTCTTTTATTCCAACAACAGCAACACTAATGAGTTTTTTACTATGTGTCATGAGATGTTCTGTCAATTTGGACTGAGTACAACAAATGCAGGCAGTATAAGGCATCATAAGTTCAATGTATGCGTCATGGCATTAATTGCTTATTTTGTTCCTCAACCCTCATACTTGAAAAAGATTTGTATTATTATCTTCAAAGGAGAATGTTCTAGTCTTTCGGCATTGTAAGTGAAGACCTAGCTAATTTTTAAGGAGGCCTATGAATCAATATTTAATTTATAATACTTAAAAAACATAGTCAACACCTGTGATACCCCTCGAACTCCAAGACATGGGCTGATCAGGCCCAAACCCAAACCCGAGAGATATCAAACAATTAAGTAATAAACAAATATTGAATACAAAAGACAAATAACTAAGAATAAATAAAAGAGCGGAAAGAGAAACTAAATACTAAATCCTCAAGTTAAATAATAAATAATTCTCCAAATAAATAATATCCAAAACCTCCAATATCATTATAACTCGAGAATTCATCTAGTAGACTCCTAATAATATCCCAACTGGAAATAAAACTAAAAAGAAGATAACATAGATAGAACTCTACATCAGGTCAATAGAGCGATGATGACTGAATCTGCTCGGTACGATCAAGCTCTAAGACTGGAACTGTCAAACACCTGAAAAATAATAGTGGGTCAGGCCCACGAACAAGTTCTACTCTACTACAATCCAAGCAGAGACTCGATACACGTATACACCCTATTTAACTCAACAATAGCTAAGTAGTCCATATGTATTATATAAACACTAAAAGAACCTCACTAGACTATAGGGCTGTCTCAACCTCAATAATAGGCAACATGCAAAAACGGA